AGCGGCCGCTGTATTCTGCAGATAGACAGAATCAAGAGGCACATTCATTAATGGAGAGGGAAGGATAAAAATAAATAACGGAATGGGAAAATCCAAGTCAGACCCAGCCGAGACGAGAAAAAAAAGGGACAAAAAACAAACTTGGAGGTGGGTGGGAATCTCAACATGGATCATAACGAAAGAAAATGCCGGGAACAGGCCGGAAGCAACACTTACTCACATTAACTAGGAAAATGAATAGTGTCTAAATTAACTAAGGGGAGGGTTTAAAGGAAATCGCCTCGTTGTGACCAAGTAGACTTAAAAAAGGAACTCAAGAAAAGCTTCTTTCACACGAAGCAAACTCGCTACTTTCACCCACCTTTCTTCGAAATCTGTCGACACCATACGCTTTCTATTATTTCTGAACTTCACCTTCAGCGGATGCTGAAAGAATTCGACCAGAGCTCGAGGAAAATAGCTTTCGTATCGTAATATTTCCTCCAGAAAGGGCGCACCTGAGGACAATGGTGGAAGGCATGTGAAATCATTTCTTTTAACCCAAGGTCACACTGATGACAGTCGGGCAAATCCGCCCCGCTTCATCTGAAGTTCCTGTCATTGAGAGAGAGCACATTCCGGATCATTCGCCAGTAAGCGAAAAGTCAGGGTTACTGAGGTAATTCGCCCAATACCAGAAAGAGCGCACCTCTGCCACCGACAAGCTGAGCTGCCCACAGAGTGGATCCTTCGCGACCCTCTCCACTAATTCACGATACAAGACCCTCCGATGCCGTAAAAGGTCACTGTACTGAGGATCGACACTCAAGGCCGCTCGAAATTCACTGAAAAAACTCGACAGCTTCCTGCACCTACGACACCGCTTAGCTTAGGAAATGGGAGGAATGATGGCAAGGCTATAGAAGGCATCCCTCACACTCCCCACCAAAATCGATCCCTCTGTCAAAAAGTGGGGTAGGAAAGCCAACAGCGACGTGTGGCGATGACTCACCAAATATGGCAATCGTAGCCAACCCCCCCCACACGGTCGCGATACAGACATCTTTATGGAGATTCTGCTTGTGATCACCCCAAAAGAGGGTGGAGATTAAGCACTCAATCGCCTTTCTATGCTTCTTGCAAAAAAGAAGTACAGCAAATTGACAAAGGATGAGGGGAAAGACGTAAGTCGCACACGTCTCACTCCTTCAAGTACCACCTCCTTCAAAGCCAAGTCCGAAATGGACGCACCAACCTTTGTCTGCGCAATTCTTATCAATTCTTCCTTAGCTAGAGTCCGGGGGCGAACAACACTAAGAATGTGGACGAATCCATTAGTCCAACTAAAAGGTCCTCGGAGAAGCGATCCCTTTCCAGAAACCTAACCGCAAGCAGGAAGTACGCGGAAACCCTGGCTCGAGCTCCACCAATGACAGCGATTCTACGTAGGAACGGGCTTCTCGCCCCGTCCCTCAGCCGGCGAAGTAGAGGTTTCAAAGCCAAAGCATTAAAGTAGGGGTGACAATGGGCAACCCTGACGAACCAACCCAGACAGCGCAAAACCCCGTGACCGCTTTCCGTTCACCTGTATCACAGCACTGGTGGCGCGATACAGGTAGCTAATCTACTTACAGAAGTCTGGTTTGAATCCGGAGGCCTGCATGACTTGGACTGATCTAAATTGATTATCGCAGTTTGCTCGTTGTCATTTACACCCTATAGGACGTGCGGATCAGATGCAGGTTTGCAGATCGTTCGGCCCTTCACAGCATTAAGTCTGATCGGGTGCCAACAGAACAGAATCTCGGCAACTGACTGCAAACTATCCGTCAGGATCTGGGCCAAAAACGTAACTCTGTTTAGTAGAGTTATGGACATGTAGTCATCTAATTCCCGCACACCATCCTTGCCCTTTTTCATCGGCGTGATCACGACCCTGGTGATCCGATTAGAGATGGCCCCTTGCTAGAATTAGTTGTTAAACACGTCAAGACAGCCTCATGTATAATTCATAGGGCAAACCATCAAGTCCTGGAGATTTGCCACTGAAGACCAAGTAGACTTCGCCCTCCGTGATATCACCCTCACACCTAGCCGCTTCAGTCAGCTAAATCCAAGGAAAGTCAGCCAAACAGCTGCGAAACTCATCGTCACAGGAACCAGGAACCTTGGTAAACCGGCTCTCGAAACGCCTCGCACATGTCATCAGTCGACCTCATAGTACACCACTCCGGGGTCTTGACCTCAGGAATGCATCAATGGGAATCTCGATGAATCTCTTCCTTGCGCAATTCTGTGCCCATGTGTACGGCTTCATTAGACATCTTGTTTAATCTATGCCTATCTAACTGACCTTGGTAGCGCTCATTAGCCGTGTGCCTCAGAGCCTGTCTAGCTAAGCCTATCTCTAGGGAATCTCCCAGCCTCCGCCCGGAGCAGACTATCCTTGAGGGCCTTCACCATTTTAGGTTTATCTAGTGCGAGCCGCTGACTATATTCTGTAGTGACGGACCTAACCCTATACTTAAGCCTCTCCCACCACCTATTTTCAGTAACTGTCCCCACTAGTTCCCGCTGCACTAGTCTAATTAGCTGTTGCTGGAAGTCCTGCCTGTCCAGTAAGGATAGGTTGAACTTCGTGTTCAACCATTCTAGGTCTAGCATCTAATGCTGTCCAGGCATAGACGAGCTACCTGGCTAACTGGGTAGACGGCCACTTAAGTGCCCACGTTCACATCACCCGCCCAGGGTGTTCGACCCTGTATCTATCGACGAGTCAAAACTCGCCAATCAGATCAACCAGGCTACGATCACCCAGTGATCTCCAGCTAGCTCCCGTCCATGTCTATGTTGGTTGTCCATGATGGCATTCCAGCCTTCCACCAAGGCTAAGCGTGACGGATCCCTCAGGAACGGTGAAAAAGCGAGACACGCTCCGTTCGGTCGTTGGGCGCATAAACCGCAACGACCCTAAACTATCTATTGTTTACGGCAATATCGGCCACGATCACCACCCCTCGCATCGACATTGAATAGATCCACCCTCGCACCCAGGATACGTTTAACCAGTAAGGAAACACTTCTGGTCAGCTGGTTCCTGTATGCTGAAAAGACAACATAGTCGCTAGATAACACACGAGCATCAACCTTGCATATAAAGTGTGTTTCTTGGATCGCAGCCACATTTACGCCGATGGACAGGAGATCACAAAGCAGGCAGGAAGCCTTACTCCGATCCCTCAACCACCTTGAATTGAAATCAGCTTTCTTGAAAAACATTTTTCAAGTTTGGTTCCCTTATTCACAGACTGGACGGAAATCTGCCGGCGCAACGACCCGGGCGGATTGTACTGGGTTGCCTGTTCCCATGTCTGTCGTTATACGACCATCCAGGACAATGCCGCCAACGTCCGTGGGATACGTTAGATTTAGAGCCCTGTATTATGTAAGATGGAGAACAACTGAGACCCTCCTTACGAAAAACTGTTGCAATTTTTTTTATAAAACTTGGTGATCCCACCTCCACAATTCTAATGGCTGAAAAAGCTTACTTCGCCTCCCAAAGTTGATCCCAAACATTTAACCGTCTCACCGTGTCCCTAATCCACGTTATGACACCCGGGGCTTTAGGGAAATTTCTCGGGTCCTCCACCGACTTCTCGTTAATGGAAGTCATTTTAAAAAGGGGCTTTTTCTGTGAGTAAAGGCCCCGTTCCTGGGCCTGCCTGTCTAAATGATATATTTTTCCCTCTCTAGAGAATGTCTTCTTTTTTGGGAGGTGTTGGGAGGCGCGGTGTTGGGGTACTAGAGTAAGGAGGAGGTGTGTTGGAGGAGGGTTTTTGAGAGGAGTTGTGTTAAGCGGAGGTGTGTTGGGGGAGCGGTTTTGGGAGGAGAATATCCGGAGAGTGGAGTTCTAGAAGAGCAAGAAGGGAGGCTCCTTGCGTTTTTTTATTGATCTATTTTGATTGGGAAAGCAGGGGCAGATTGGGATTTGATTTTATCTAGTGCCTTCTCCATTCTACTTCGTCCAACTCGTTTTTCTTTCTTTGAAGTCTTGCTTTCTCTTTCCTCCTATTCATTCCCTCTCTCTCTCCCCCTCTCTCTCTCTCTCTCTTTAAAGAGGAGGGTTGGGATGGAGCCATCTCCTCCATCACCACATCTTGACATTTATCCTATTCAAGGTCATCTTGCTGCTACTTCACCTGCCCCTGTTGACGCTCCTGTCTCATTTGGGGCTTCTGTTGCATTTTTGTGGCCAGTTTTTGCCTCATTTGTGACATCCTGCTGATGGGGAGGTGTTGCAGATTTCCTTCCTTATTTACTACTTCTATCCATTCTCCTAGACATTTGGGCTGTCCCAGCTTTTGCAGTTTCAATGTTAGTTGATGGTTGCGGTTGTACTTCCGGCTTTTTCCGGGATAAGCTTTAGAAAGATGGCTAGCTGTCCCACAGGCCCAACAGAAAGGTCAGAGCCCTTCCACTACAACCTAGATGGGACGGCCACCACATATAATTATGTTAGGCATGTCCATAAAGGTTTTCCTAGTTACGGTTAACATGATTTCCGGTGGCAATGCCCGGTTTACTTTTAAGTAATGAGACATCTGCAACCTCCGCAAATTTGGAGAAAAAACAAAACAGGTGGCCCTCCGAAATGTACAGGGGTACACCTTAGCTTTTTTTGCTCCCATATACCCTGTCTGAAGCCTCACTCTTTTTGTTGTAAGAATATTGCCCGCTAACGATTTACCAGTGTCTTCTGTCCTGAGTAATATGTCCCTTATAGTAATCAGGTCCGTTTATCAACTGCCCACACTGAATGGCATTCTGCCGTGGGTGTCGACTCACGGAATTGGGATTGTGCCATTATACTGACGTTCCCACAACAATAAACAAAAAAGACGTACAAGAATTTACGTAAAGATATCAAAATACGTAAACAAAATACAATAAAAACGAATGTGGACAAAATTCAACTTACTTCCAAATAACTTAGCCTGGAATAAACTGTCGTGAACTCTTTAGAAGAAGAAGAAGAAGAAGAAGAAGGAGAGATAGGGGGGAAAGAAGAGGAAAAAGAAGAAAGAAGAGGAAGGGAAAGGAAAAGAGAAAGGAAAAAGGAAAGAAGGAAAAGGGGATGGTGAGAGAAAAGGAGGAGGAGTAAGAAGAAAGAGGACGAAGAAGATGGGAAAGATGAAAAGGGAAAGAAATGAAAGGAAAGAAGAAGAAAGAAAAGAAGAAGATGAAGAAGGAGGAGGAGGAGGGGAGTAAGTGAGTGAAGAAGTGGGAGATGGAAAAAAGGGAGGAAGGACAAGAAGAAGAAGGAGAAGGAAAGAAGTAGTGGAGGAAGTAGAAGGAAGGGGGGAGAGGAGGATGAAAAACAGAAGAAGCAGGAAGAAAGGAAAGAGAAGAGAAGAGAAACGGAGAAGGAAAAGAAAAGAGGAAGGAAAAAGGGGGAGAGGAAGAAACGAAAAAGAAAATGAAAGAAGAGGAGAAGAAGAAGAAGAAGAAAGAGAGAGAAAGAAGAAGAAAAAAAAAAAGAAAAAGGAAGGAGGAAGAAAAGTAGGAAAGAAGAAGAAGAAAGGAAGAAAAGAAAGAGGAAAAGGAAAAGAAAAGAGAAATGGAAAGAAGAAGAGGACAAGAGAAAGAGGAAGAAGGAGAAAGAAAAAAGAGAGAGAGAAGAGAGGAGAAAAAAGAAGAGGAGGAGGAGGAGGAAGAAGAAAGAAAAAAAGAAAAAAAATCTCGACCAACTTATCCAGGAGTCCGATTGTTCTTATTGAAATAAATACGTCAGCGTCAGCCATTGAAAAAGGCTTTTCACGCTCCGCTCCTACATACTGGTGTTTTTTTTTTACTTCCTCCGGTTTCGAATCGAATTACTGCCCCTGAGTAATAAAAAAAAAAAATTAAATCATGGGAGTTATTTTGTAGGTTCTCTTTGTGTATGGGGCATTGTGGTATATGTAGGAGTAAAAGGTGAAGGATGTCTTTTGGTATATGCGTTATTTGTATTGAATAAATGGGTCGTGGATAGGATTAGCTAGTTATAGGATAGTTAATGACGAACAGCCTCAACTCACTCCCCACTTTTTTGGCCATGTGCTGCAATTTTTGTATTTTACAATAATAAATATGTACTTCCCCTGGATTCCTAACTTGGTCTCTTTCTTGCATAGTTTAATCTAAATGTTTCATACGTTTTAAATTACTAATCCAATAACATTACTAACCCTTTAACTAAACCTACACGCGTACCCAATCCAAATCTCTCATATACTGATACTAGCACTTACGCCTCACCAAAAATTAGTCTAACTTACCACTTATAGAAGCATTTCTAAAAAAAATCCGCTATTCTTTCTATCAGATAATCTTTACATTTACCTTATACTCTTAAACGAAATTCCACAACAATTTCTATATATATGTATGTTCACACACGCATCTACATATAAATGTACTTACACGTACATGCACGAGCACATAAATAAATTTATTTATCCCCCATTTACATTTATGAAACCAGCCTACACCATATTTACTATCTGTTAAGTATTACTCGAAATAAATCTGATCAATTAATGCTATTATTGACAAACGACATTTTCAAAACTATGGTTTCTACGATACTACTTAATATATAATAATTTAAGTCTTTGCCCTCTGAAATTACATTCAAAAGAAGTAGGCAGTTAGGCATGGTTATGTAAATAAAAGCCGCAAGTAAGCGGAAACAAATGGCAATAAATAGATGAAAAGCAAAAAAAAAAAAAAAAAAATGTCATCCATGCCCCAGCACACATACATCCGCCAACAATTCTCAACCCTTGCCACCATTCCTCATTCTTAAACCACTGAACCTTCTACCTTCACCCAATCAAAACCTTAAACCCATTATCTATAACCATTCAACTGCCCTGATTTACTATATTAATTCAATATTCCCTTGTACCTTGTACGCCTCCCCTCTGTATCCCTAGGTATGTTTTTGAGTTCTTTCCTTTTCCCCCGACTCCTTCTCTCCCTCTTAACGCCCTCGCGTCTTCTTCCATGGCTCCGATCTATTAAGCCAAATCCACTTTATTGTTAATGTCCTTCAACTTTTTAGCCCTCGCTGCCACTATGCCTATTTTTGGCAGGGATCTGCGCAACAACATTCCTGCAATCAATTTCTGTTGGGTCCATAGTATATTTTCCATGACTTCCACTTACATTGCTCGACCAGTTCTTGGTATTTGGACCTCTTTCTCTCATTTACTAGTGTAATGAATTCCTCCCATAAATCTATAAATAATAGTATAGCATTATGCCCAAGTCTCTCCGTCACTTGCAACTCTCATTCAGCGTGAAAATGTTAGAAAAATATTTTAACACCTAAATTTTTTTAATGAAAAAGTTGTTTGTAAGATGTTTTGTTAGTATGCACATAAATATTTATACATTTTCGAGGTTAGAAAATACTATTTTTAGCACACACAAAAAAAATTTGAACAAGTTTTTGTAATATTGAGGAACGTACTGTTAGAAATAGAAACTGTTAGAAAAAGTTTGGCACCAAAAATGATTTTTTTATGAAAAGTAAGGTTTATAAAACATTTTGTAATATTTATAAACGTAACGTATTATTCACTTCGGAGATTGGAATATGTTAGAAAAAGACGCATCAAATTTTGCAATATTTATGAACGTAAATATATATTACACATTTACAGAAAATTGAAAAACAATTCAGCCGTTCAAAACTTTATCCGAAATTATAGGTTTATAACATATATTGGAGTATTTACGAATTTTTAATTTTTGTGGTTTTATAAAATGAATGATTCATCGTCTGAAAAATTATATTTTATGAAAAAGTTAAGTTTATGTCACATTTTGATAGGTGATTTTAAAATCTTACAAAAAAACTATTTTAACGCCTCAAATTTTTTAAAAAATTAGCTTTATTATATTTTGTAATATTTCTGAACGTAAAGAATTATGTATTTAAGGTCATGGAATTTCTTCGGCAATGATTAGGCGCTAAGCCTCAAAAAAAAAAGATTTTTTATTTTACGAAAATTTAGGTTTATTACACATTTTTAACGTACGTAAAGCATGTCAGAGAAAGAATATTTCAGAGCTTTAAATAATAATATTAAATATTTAAATAATATTGAGCCGAAAATAATATTTATATACCAAAGATATGTTTATATCTCATTATATCATTATTATATCTATTCATGAACGTAAGGTATTATGTATTTACAGGCTTTGAAAAAAAATAGCGACTCAAAAAAAAAAAAAAAATTATTAAAAAGTCAGGTTTATACACATTTTGTAATATTTATGAACTTAAAAGTATTATATATTTACAGTTTTGGAATATTATTTTAGCGCTTCAAAAATATTTTTCCCAAAAAGCTAAGTTTTGATGATATTTCGCTATATTTATGAATACAATGTTTTACATATTTACGGGTTTTGGAATAATTTCGTAAGTGACTGTTTTAGCTCTTCAACAATGATTTTACGTAATATTTCTGAACATAATGTATTATGCATTTATGGTGTTCGGAATATGTCAGACAAAGATTATTTTAGCACCTCAAATATGATTGTTTATGAAAATGTTTTTCTAATATTTATGAAATTTAGGGATGGGAAATTGTTAGAAAAAAATTTTCCACATCAAAAAATTATTTTTTCTGAATATATATATATATATATATATATATATATATATATATATATATATATATATATATATATATATATATATTAATTACAATTAATGAGATCCAAACAATTTAACTCATGCAGATCATTTCGTCCATGGGAAAATAGTTTATCCGTGGAATTATCAATGCAAATACATTTACTAAAATGAATAAAATCTCACGTTTCTTCACAGGTAATTTGAAAGGTAAATGAAAGAAAGAAGGAAAAAAGAAAAAGGATAGAATAAAAGGAGAGGGACTAAAAATTGGCCTATAATAGAGGAGGGAGATATATAGATATCGAGAGGAAAGGTACCAAAGGTGATTGTGGTCGAGTCGGATATAGATAAACGCGACGGTTGAAAATGGACACTGAGATAAATGTAACCTATCTACACCTGCGCAAGAAAGAAGAATGAACAGAAAAAAGACCATGAAAAATTTTAAAGGGAACTTTAAAATTATTATAGAATGGGTGTAAGAATTTAAAATTAATACTTTTATAAGATGTTAATACAAATCCATTCAATACTACATCTTCAACTATAGAGTAAAAGTTACAGTAAAAAAACTTTAAATAAATTATTAATATGTTAATTTCATTTAAATATAATCAATCTCATTATATCAATATAATATTAATAAATATTCAAATACTAAGTTTATAATTCACATATCATACTTACACTAATTATTTAAAAATTAGCGTTCCATGGACGAAATGATCATCTATATAAGATACATTGTTCGGATCTCATTAATTGTAATTAACTTTTTGCTCTATAATAAAGATTATATTGAAGCCACATTTGTTCATCAGATGTAATATTTTATATTAATAGGAACTACTTGGATTACTGACCCACAGATGTTTTTATATCTGTCTGTCTGTCTCTCTCTCTCTCTCTCTCTCTCTCTCTCTCTCTCTCTCTCTCTCTATATATATATATATATATATATATATATTACGATAAACGTGCAATCAATTTACAAACACATGAATTATTCACACAAAAACTAATGCAAAGGTTAATGATTTAAATGGCGAGACATCCATCATCGCAAACAATTCAAATAATATACAAAAACCTCCGTATCCGTTATGAATGAAATGATCCTTGTTTATATAAATTTCTGCCGTATTAGTTTTTATTTTACTACAAGCTTTCGTCTGTTCCTACAAACATCTTCAGGTATAGAATAAATGTTGTTCTTGTTTTTCTCTCTTTTCTCTTATATATATATATATATATATATATATATATATATATATATATATTTTAAAAATATGATTACTTCCCTACATAAGAGTTCTCATGTTTCAGAAAACATATATACATGAATGTATATGTATATATATATATATGTATATATATATGTATATGTATATGTATGTATATGTATGCATATGTATGTATACATATATGTATATGTTTATATTTGTCTATACGTACATATATATATGCATATATACATAGGTATGTATATGTATGTATATATATATGTCTATGTATATTTATATATATTTACGGATATATATATATGTCTATATATATGCATATGCATATATATATAAGTATGCGTATATATATATATATATATATATATATATATATGTATGAAGAAATATAGTCTGAAGATGGGCTATATTTATAGCATAAAGTGCTCAATATCAGAGATAGAGCATCTGTAAATACAAAAGTGAACATAGAATTCAACATTACCTTCCCACACCAAAATAAATTATTAAATAAAAGATCCGAGTTCATCTCAAAATGCAGACACGAAAACAATTTTTTACTCAAACATCGAAAACTGAAAAAAACAAAAAAACAAAATGACAATAAATAAGGGAAATAAATAAATCCAAACAAATTAACAAATCACAACCGTTAGAATAGACGAAATAGAATAAATAAATAAAAAAATCAATAAACCCAAATAAAGTAAATAATAAACAAATTAACAAACCATTATGACCAAAATATTAGTTAAACTATAAAAATCAAACCCAAAACCGGACGAAAAAATAGCTGTAACTGTTATATAACGATAAAAGAAAAATAAATACTACATTACTGACAAATCGAAAACCGAAAAGTGCAAATAAAAATATAAGTATTAATAAATACAATAAATAATAAAAAACAAGTAAAATAAATTAATCTAAATTCATCCAAATAAATAAATAAACTAAAAAAAACGATCCCGATAAAGTAACCGTAAGAAGAAAACAAATAAAAGATAATGAATGCAATTAGATACATGAAGTAATAAATAAATTGAAAACTGCTCCCGCCAAAATAATAGTTAGAAGAAACTACAACAATCAACACCAAAATTGAATAAATTGCTTTAATTATATTCCCAAACTAAAACAAAACTAATAAATAAGCAATATAAACACATTTTTACTACATTAATAAAAACACTGACTAATAAAAATAAACAAATAAATAAATAATTAAATATAGAAGATAAGAAATAAAAATAAATAAAAACAAGCAAGATAATTTAACCCAAATAAATAAATAAACAAATAAACGACTTCCGGTAAAATAACCGCCAAAATAGACATAATATTGTCATAATGCACCACTGACCCGTATATATAAATAGCCGAGAAAAATAACAGCTGTCGTGGCCTGACGATTGCATCTAGCATGAAACAGACTGTCGCCTCTAAGTGTTGATTCTATGTTCATTATATATATATATATATATATATATATATATATAATATTTATTTATATGTATGTATGAATATATATGTATTTATATGTATTTATATATAATATACATATGTATATGCATATATTTATATGCATATATATCTATGTTTATGTATGTATATGCATATGTATATATAGATAGACATATATATTTGAATATATTTATATACATATGTTTATATGTATGCATATATATATATATATATATATATATATATATATATATATATATATATGCATATATATGTATATATGTATGTATATGAATATATGTATATGTGTTTTACATATATCTATATGTATATATATATGTATATAGTATAATATATATATATGTATATATATATGTATATATACGTATATATATGTATATATGCTTATATATAAATGTTTGAATATATGTATGTATGTGTATACATATGTATCTGTATATATATATGTGTGTATATGTATATATATATGTGTATATGTATGTGTATAGATATATATATATATATATATATATATATATATATATATATAATTATTTATTTAAAAAGTATAACATAAATATGTTATAAAATCACTACAAAAATAGCCATTTTGTTTCAACACCTATGTTGTCTTATCAAGTGATGCTGTTGAATGTAGATTGTAGAATAAAGTTTTTAAAAGGTTCAAATTAATTAACCACCACTTGTAAGGGGAAACATTGTTACATGAGCTGGAACGACCAATCAAAATACAAGTATACGAGAATTCAAAAACCTTGACAACGAAGTAAGGTTATAATAACTATGAAATGCTTTAAAGGTTATACTAAAATAGAATTTATTCTGACTAATATGTATTAAATTGTACGATAAAAATTGAAATTGAAATTAAAAACTACCCATTTTAAAGTGTTAATTTAATCTCTATTATGTATAAAATTTTAAAATTATTGAGGAAAAAAGAAAAAAAAATACAAGTTATTCTATTTATTTTGTTTCTATTGAAATTACATTGGAATAAACGTTAAGATCGACTGCTCTTAACTTAATGACAACATGGATACAAATGTAGGCATGGGATTTTGATATCTTGCGAAAGACAATACATACACAATCAGATAATAATACATAAGCACGCAGACGTATTTAGATATATACACACACAAAAAGTGACGAAACAGGAAATATTTGCACGAACTTTTACAAAAAAAAATGTGTATATATATATATATATATATATATATATATATATATGTATTGGTATATGTATATGCATGGGTATGTGTGTACACGCCGTATGTATGTATGTACGTGTAAGTATAAATATGTTGTTGTGTATGTGTGTATACGCATGTGTTTTTGAAAATAGAAATATAGGTCTTTGCTAGATTAGATAATCGTTATGTTTGTTTTTTTTATGTTTATATTTGATTTGTAACCTGTAGTCGATATTACTTCTGTCAGATTTTCTTGATTACACAGCGGCCCTTTTATAAATGCCCTTCAGTTTTAGTTCCTTCCACCCCATCTCTCTCTCCCACCCCTTTTCTTTTCTTTTCCTCTCCCTCTCTCATGTTCTGATCTTTAAGATTAAATCGTCTATTGTGTGTGTATGTCAACACAAAATGTATCTTTTCCGTTATATCTTTATTGTATTAGACATCCGAGAATCTCACTTAATCCGTCTCTGACTCCCCTTTTAAAACTTCTTTCTGTTAAATTTTAAACCCCCTTCATCTTTACACCTTCCTGTTTTTCTCTCGTCTGTTACCCCTCCCTATATCTTTCAATTACTCTAACATTCGTCCCACACTCTCATACATACACTCTCACTAAATTTTATTTTTTATTCCCGGAGTTGTTTTTTCTGTTTACTTTTTGAATTTGTAAGTCTGATGAATTGGATCGTATTTACGATTCCAATGGAATAAATTATGACCATGGAATATTAGTGTTTAAGCCTTTTTATTATATCCTTACTCTGTCTTAGACATTGAGTTCTACCTGGATTCATCCTCTTGGATCTATTTTTTATACAAATATATATATATATGTATGTGTATATATGTATGTATATATATTTATATATTTTAGATATATGATTGCATATGTATGTGTATATACCACTAATATTAATACTATCTATCTATCTATCTATCTATCTATCTATCTATCTATCTATATATATATATATATATATATATATATATACATAAATAGGTATATACATACATAAACCTACACATATTCTAACAATATTATCTTATTGACAATAAAGTACAGTAGAGTCCATAATAATTTTAAAATGTAACAAGACACAATTGCTGATTAAGTCTATAAGCAATTAACAAACCCTTATCAAACAAAATTAAATTTTAATTAGTATTGCTGATACATTCGAAGACACTAAGGTATACATACATATGTATACGAAGAAATACGAACATACATTCACATATACAAATATATAATCATGCATAGATACTCATATTAACACATACATATATACACATAAGTACGCACACATCGAAGCATATATATATATATATATATATATATATATATATATATATATATACAAATACAACGAAATATACATATACATGTATACACACATAAGCATACACATGCACCTGTAGACATAAACCAAAGTTTACATACCTACACATACACACAAACAAGCTCACATATGATAGGTGTCCAGACTCAAATACACACACACATACACATG